GAGCTAGGGTAGTACAAAAGCCTTTATTCAAGAGGCTTCCCAGCTTTTCTGTTTCTTCAGACCCATCATTTCTCCCCCAAGCTGCCCCCAAGCCCCTGCTACACAGTCCTGGCTTTGCTCGTGTGGACGATCAACGGAGGGTAGGAGATGCCTGACGAGTGCATAGATCTCAAACCCTTTTTTCCCCACAAAATGCTGTTTTTTCAAATAGTGTTGTTCCCATCTGTGTAACAGTTTGTACTCAGCATCTTTAAAAGTAGGCAATTAAAACTGGAAAGATTTTGTAACCAGGATTAAATATCCACTACCTCTGATTATTGCACTATTAGAATAATAATGGTAGGCTTTTTTGACTAATCAAATAAAAATGAACACTTAATTAAACATTTCACGAATGTTTCATATCAATCAGGAAATAAAATAGTCTTGAATTTTTATTGCAACATTTGCTTTTGTTACTGAGAGCTCTTTAAGGCATCAACAAATGCAGCAAACCCATTTATTTATAACATATTTGCCCTCACTAGGTGCACTGGAAAACAGAAAATGTTCTTTGGGATGTCTTAATAAAAATACATCCAAATAATTGCAAAAACAAGAACAGCAACATATAACAGCAGAAAACTTCTAAAAGAAGCCTAAATTGTTGCTGGTGGGTTTTTCCCCTAGTTAAATAGGTGAAAATTCCCCTTTAGGAAAGTGCATGCAGAGCATGCAGGGGTTTTGGAGGAAAATTATTGTACAGGCTGGTTTCCAAAAATACTGTGCCTATAAAACATAATTAGATGGTAAGTATGTAAATAACAAAAGTTAAAATACCTAAGAGTAATGAGATTCATTTGATAATTGTATGAATGCAAGATAAATGTCCTTTTAATTTGTTCTCTGACCACTGACGACACAACTTTATGGACAACTTTCCAGCAGCACTTTGATCTAAGTAGTGACTGCCCTGAGGTCACTGGATAATTTGGTAGATGATTATATTTCAGAGGGATTAATCCCCCAACCCATCTCATGAGGCAGCCACAGTAAACACATGTGCTCATATAGGGAAAATATAGGGGATAGAAAGTAAATAAAGGGGAAATGACAGATTTTTGTACAGACATAAAGTACAGCTTTCCTTTTTTTTTCTTTTTTTTTTCCTTTTTTTTTTTCATTAGGGATGCTCAGATTCTTGTGCAGTCGCATGATTTTTAGTGCTGAAGAGCTAAAAATCACAGCAAAGGAACAAGACTTGCAATAACATCACAAGCAGGGGTGGCACTGAAGTGTCCAGTCTGCTCAGCTAACCATCTCTACAAAAAATGCAATTTGACTCCTAGAAAGACATCCCTGTTAATGCAGCCATATTGTAACCTGCTGTATGGTTCAGATAATTGATTTGAAACGTGAAGTGATAGATGAGAGTCTCATTTGTCACATCTTGCTCTGCAGATATGTGAAGAAAAAACCAGAACTCACCATTATTCACCAGGACATGGAGTGGACAATTCTTTGCTCTAAACCGCTGCACAAATTGCCGTATAGACTTCATGGAAGCCAAATCACAGTATAAAAACTCCACTGGGAGAGAAGAAGAGATGAACAAAAACAGAGTTAAGTCAGTTACAATGATATAAAAACACACTTAAAGACATCAACAAGGACTCCTGTGATAAAGTCACCAGGAAAGTAAAGATTCTAAAAATAAACCAGGCTTTTGAAAATTATGGGTCTCGGAAGGTTCCTTCTTACTCCTTCCTTCATTTCTATTTTTAAACTATTGACTCTTCACAGAGCAAATATGAGGAATGCTGCTGCCAGGAGGTGATGAAGGGTATCAAACGGAGCAAATATGTCCTAGTCCTACTGCTTTTTTTCTGCTACAATTTAGGATGAGGGACTACAGCGCTTCAGTGCTGAGATGATCAAGACATGGCAGCTGGAAATCAAACAGGGAGATGAGAAGCCACATCGGGCACCACAATGTTTCCCTGTGTTTCTGATGCCAAATATGCTGCCCTGTGTTTTTTCCCAGATTATCTGCTGTCTGTGGTCTGAACAGTGATGAAGTCTGACAACATGTTAGAAAACAAAGCTTTACTGAGGCAGTAAGAAAGATGAGCAACAGTGTGCCCATACGACGACTCCTCCAATCACCGAAAGCAAACATGGCATCCTAGGTGATGCTGTGGCTTCAGGTGGACATCCAGGACACCTGGTGTCCGGATCACCCGGCAGCAACAACCGGTCACATAAATGCCTTTTGAATGTGTGTAAGAGTCATGCTGCCCCTTGGGTCCAGCAATGGCAGTGTGATTTGAGAGGCTCACACCTCACATGGATACTGTGGGTATCATCCTGACTGCACTGCCAATGTCGGTCAAGGGGCAGGGTGGAAGGGAGCAGCGCGTCAGCAGTCTGCCTACGCCAGTGATGTTGGTCAAGGGATATAGTGTCAGCATCTCAAAACATATTTAACACTGGTATGTTTTTATTTCCAAGAAAATATGTCTCTAACAAAAGCATACATTGTCCAAAGCATTAGTCAGCCATTGACTTTCACTAGAACACTACAAAATTAATTAATTAAAATAAAAAAGATTATTTAAATCCGCCAATAACTGTAAACCCATCAGGTCTGAAAATTCTCCTCCTGTTGCAGTTGTTCAGCTTTCACCCCCTGACTCTCACAGCACTGCTTTATTGGTTGCCTTGCTTTGCGTGACAGCCACAACCAGGGTTATGAAGTGAAAACAAGTGGCGGCCCCCCACCAACAGCAATAGCTATCCCCACATCCACAATCCAAATGCTTTAGAAACTCTGCAAAGAGGAAAAAGAAAGAAAATTGTGACCTCATCCACCTGTTTTAGCCTTTTAGAAAGTATATGTATTGCATACCAGGCTTATGTTTTGTTCCAGCATTAGCTATGTTTTAAGCAAGAAAATGTGAGTCTCTAGCGCAGATGTTATTCTCTCTTCTGGTTTGCTCCACGTTGTGGTGGGACTCCAAGTCAGCTAGATGTGGTCAGCTCCACACCAGCCAGATCCAGTACACTAGGGCTCTGAGGTGGATTTGCCTGAACTTCTTCCATGAAGTGAATTTTCCAAGAAAGACCAAAAGGTGTTTCAACTTTCGAAAGTCAGATAGTAGTGAGCAACCTCCAGTGACTAAGTTGAGCAGAAAGGCAGGCAAAGGCTGTGCAAAGCATGCTCCCCGCTCACTGTGTCCTTGCAGGGTGAGTCCTTTCTGTACAGTTTGATTTCAGCAAACTCCCATATTTCCCAAGCTGTGGCTGCTTCTTCCCAGATGCTCGGTCCCCAGGATGGTTTTGGCCACCACAGCTGAGGACTGGGGCTCCAGGTCCTCGCTGTGTTTTCCCCGCTCCCCTCCGCCCTCCCACCTTGCAGCCTGAGGGCTACTCCCCTGTGCTCCATGGGAAGAAACAGCCGTCTCCTTCCTTGTACGTGGCTTCCCTCACCTCCTTCTATGAAAGAAACAGCCTTTGAAAAAAAGGAAAATTAAAAATACACAGTTCTTCACACATGCTAAAGAAAGCCTTTCTGACAAGAACATTAAACTATTGGGTAAACAGGCTCCAACGCAGGCTGCAGCAAGAGACCTTTCCTGTTACTCTTTTCCCTGGTCCATCAGTGATGTTCACCGAACTTCCATCCTGTCGCAACCAAGGCTGCAAGCTATAATGCCTCTTTATAGTGTGCCTGTACAATAAGAGTCTAGGAAAGCCTGCAGGCACAATAGCAAGCTAAATAACAAAAGACAGTCACGGGTCTTATTAAACTCCTTTACAGGAGAACATTTCCTTCAGTTCCCTTCAGTTTTACACAATATTTTGAACCAAGACAGTATTAGTCCTCTGAAATTGTCTTAGTGAATTTATATAAATTACTCAGTGGCTTTTTCCATTAAAAAATCCAACCAAAAAAAACCCCACCAAAAAACAAAAAACCAAAACTTAGTTTCCAGTTTTAAGATAGTATAAATACATTTTTTCGAAAAGGCTGCAAAGTCATACCATTTCAATGACACTGACCCATGAATAACACTGGACTCTTGAGCTCCCTATAGACCTTTAGGAGGTCTTCAATTTTGTTTAATTTCACACACGTCCTGCATCTGGAGGTGGTAAGAAAATGCAAAAGTTATTAACTCCTGTAAAGAAGAGAGTTATTCAGGTCATTCCTCTTGTGGCCTAGCAGCTATATAAAACCACATGAACAGCACTGTAATTGCTCAGATGCACAAAACCTGGTTGTACTTATTAGTAACTAGTGCAACAACGAATGGAGTAAAGACCTAGGTGAAGCTTTATGCTGACTCTGCTGTTGTTCTACTTCTCCAGGCGGTTCATCAAGGAGAGATTAGGGAAAGCATGATCAACTTCTTGGGAGGCAGCCACTCACACTGCCAATGGAGGAGTCCCTCTTAATACAAAATATTCATCTTGGTACAGAAAGCATTGGACTTCTATCAGCTGCAGTATTATTTTGTGTCACAGTGTAAGGTCCAACCACTTATTCACCACCCGTACGAGCTGTGGCAACATTATTGACTCTCCTGGATTTTGGTAATGACACGATATGTGCAAGGAAAGCAGGCCCCTGAGAACATTCACTGAGCTAAATTTTAATATCTCCCCTCATCTGACCTTGAAATTGTGCTTTTCTTCATTGCCAACTACAATGGTGGTTAGATAACCAGGGTGCCAAGGCGACTGCTTTTCAGGCCAAATGGTACAATCCCATCCTTCCTGGGAATTAACTTTTTGCTAGGTCTGTCTGATCTCCCCTCCCTTAATTTTGTAGTTTTGGAGAGCAACTGCTGTCCTTTATTATGACCATACAGTGCCCAGAGTAATGGCATACTAGGCCAAGGCTATCATTACTAAGTTTATTTACTTGCTTACTTGGGCAGCGCATCATCATATTGAGTATTTGTAAAGCACTTGCCATCAAAAGATCAGAACATGCTTTGGAAAGGAAAACAAACAAACAAAGCAAACCCCAAACTTCTTTTTGCTCACGGGGCAGAAACATTAATGGCCAAAGTCCTTGTTCGTGCTTATTTGTGCATGGCGGCTCTTTGCCGGGAGGGCAGTCTCACTGGCACGAGCGCCGCAATGAATGAGGTGCTGTTCCACTCGAGAAAGAGTGCCAACACATGGCTCCAAGTCCTGTGCTGACTCAGCAGAAGGGCCATGAACAGAAACCCAGTTTCTTCTTTGTCCCACGGTATTTAATTTTTTTTAGCAGGGTACTGAAGAATTACACATATAGAAGCTAAGGACAATGGTTAGTTTTTAGAATATTTCAAAGCATGCACAAGTATAGTAAGCAAGTCATTTTTTAAAATGTCTTAAGTAATAAAGACCAGTGTTTAATAATGTAAGAAAATGACCAAACCTAAACGTAAACTAGCAATGTGACTTCAATCACTTTTCAGAAACAATGATGGCAAAAGGTTTTCTGTGTGGGATAAGTATGAGCAAAAAGAATAAATACGTGCAATAGCAATAGGCAAACTGAAACATATGCCAAAATTAATATTTAGATATGTTACTTCTTACCTTTTTGTTTGTCTGCCACTAGACTTAAAATTATTCAAGCACCTAATAATTGACAATAGTGGTCATTATGCTTTTGAGTTTACTAACTCAATGTTTTCAAAACTAATTGGTTAGTTTGATTTGCTGTATGACATTAAGAACAAAAATGGGGAATAGAATCTACATGTAGAATATCTGCATCTAATGCTACTGAAATACTGTATTTTCCAACTCTACCCCATTTTATCTCTCCTTCTCCTATACTTCCCCTTGCTTTCAGGTACTTCTAGAATGACAGACATGCCCGTATTTCTTTCTTCTAGTGGATATGTTCCTTGTTCTTATCTAAATAATCTTTCCAATGAAAGCAAGTGAGTACATAATTGTCAGACACTGGCTAAAATATTCACTGTTAAAAATATTTTTCTATGATTTTATTGTAATTTGATGACTCAGTTGTCAGTTATTAGCTAATAAAATATAAAAGAAGCATAATTTCCCAAAAGACAGCTAGAGTTACTTATGCCATTCTTCACATATGAATAGATATATATATGATGGTGCTACAATTGCTGCTTTGCCTAATTGCTTTCTTTCAAATATGTATCTGCCTGGCGGAGCATCTTTTCAGTAACAGAGAAGGTGGTACGATGTTTTTCAGACTGCTCCTCCATAAGGCCATATGAATTCTACAAAGCTATGCTGGCTGACCACACACACCACCACTGAGCATCTGAAAGTTCAGTGCCTTTTCCTGCACTGTGCGCCCTCCGCTCACTTGGCTATGGTAACTGGAGTCAGAGGGCCTGAACGACAGGCACCTGGCAGCTTTTGGAGAGTTTTCTGACACCATGAGTCCCACAGGATCTCAGAGGAGCCTCAGCATTAGGAGAGCCTCACACAGCCCCTGAGTGCTCATGCTCCCCCGAGTTTCTCCCTTTGGGTCAACTTCCCCATTTCTGTCCATCTGCTTCTTCACGCTATTGGTACACCTTTCTTTTTAACATCTAGAGTTC